CTCTGCCGACGAAGAAGAATCTGCTCACCGGTCCTACGAGATCAAGCCCGAGCGGCTGGTTTGCTACCGCTGTCTCCACTCTTCTGATCAATTCCAAACGCAAAGCGAAATGTCGCGATAGCTTGGCTAGCTATAGAGGTGGATGTAGAGCCCTCCGCTCCAGAGGTATCGTCTCGTATCTGGTGGAACACCTTGTAGGCTCCAGATTGTGTAACCCTCCTACCGATGGGCGCCGCATCGCGCAATTCTGCCACGTCAATGGGGTCTCAGGGGTACAGTTCATACGATGTCAGAAGTTTCGTCGCTTCAGACGACCTTCCTTGCGTCTGTCACCAAAATGGGGAAATCAGCTTGTCAGACAACGTTTGACTTCAGCAAGGCCGATTGCGAGTACACTCGCCTTATAGTGCATTGCTCGTCGAGGAACGGGCGGTCGCCGGTGGAGCAAGGCCTCACGTAGCATTTTCTCCGGTCGACTGCAGGGGGACATGGTCGTTGGCGTCTGGTCGTGACTGACTGTCGGCGTCTGTGTCCGATATCTCCTGTCCAAGTTCTCCTGACTGCCGAAAAAGAATGGTGAGCCACGTGGCGTCCCCGTAGTCTGATTGTCTCCACAGGGCAGGCTGGATGGTATGTGTAAGAAAGCACTCCAGTTGGTATACCTTCAAGCTCCATGGGGTGCCGTGGATCACGCTCTTGACCTGCTGCCCTCGGGTCACAATCTGTAACAATAGCCCCATTGAAGGTGCACAGACTGCTTGCAGATCGGGTGTCAGGATGAAGAAATGTTGATTTGTTAATGACAGAACGCCTTTAGCGGAGAGGTTACAGATCACGATGATTCGTTACGAAATCAATTCTGATACCGTGGGCAGGCGCATTATAGCGGGTTCGGGCGCGTCATGGAAATGGAAAGTTGTGAGCTAAGGCAAGGTGCGGCAGTCGATGTAGGTGTTTCTCATGTCCAGTTCAGTGGGGCAGTGGAGATGCAGTCCATTCTAGTCTTTCTTCAAGCTCCATTCCGCGCCGCAATGATCATCTTGGCATAGGTCGAGGTTTGCAGCAGCACTTGTGACGGGAATGTACAAGCCCCCGAACGAGTACGGAGCCGAGAGGATAACGGAGGCCTTGCGATATGCTCGTCTCCTTTGCTTTTGGTTCGATAGAGTTGATGATAAGATCTCGAGAATCAGCAGATATTCCCATATTTTTTCCAACACCAAGACTTGGTAGGAGCGCAGCTCCATGGAAATCTTCCTTGAATTCGCGGACGAGCTGGATTCTCTTGCTGTCTCGGCGACACAGATCTGGTTGCGACCGATCTGATGCTTACTGAATCGATTCAGAGCTCTCAAGCCGTGATACTGAATCATTCTGAAGAAGAGACGTCGGAGCATCGGTGTCCAGAGGGATGGCCGTCACGGCGCGAACGTGATCGGATCGGTGTCTGTCGCTGCGTGGTCTAGGCAAGGCACCTGACATGAAGCCTGCCCTCTGGAATAGGGTAGCTCTCCCATGATCCCAGTGACGTGTTGCATCTTGTCGGTCCCACTGTTGTAACTTGTTGGCGTGTGTGCACAGCCTGCTCTTGCCCCTGTTGGACACGGGCGTCGTTGGTGGGATGCTGGGCCCGCAACTCGGCACAGAGGCTCTCAACGCGAGTCTGGTTCGTGATCTCCACTTGGCGAAGCGCATTCTCGAAGAAGATTATTACCTGGTGTAGCTGTCTTTCTGGAATCGGCGGAGGGTCCTCGGCCCGATTCTTCTCGCGGCGGCGAGAGCTCTGGTGCTGCGATGATGTGCCAGTTTGCCGCCGGTGTACCTGTTGCCGGCGCCGCTGGGGGACTGATGCGTGAGCCGTCTCGACAGGGGTTACTTGAGCGGTGCCAAGCTCAGGAGGTCGTTCAAACATTAGTGCCCGAGAAGCAGATTCGGCGGACATGGCTTTGTTGAAACCTGATGTTGGCAATGTATGCTCCTTCCTCTCCCTGTTTGGACTCATGCTGGATCTAACATCGCCATTGTCACCGTCTGATATCTTGACGTCCCCTCTCATCTAACAGAGCACTCTCTCCTCTATTCTCCCGTGTCATTGCTACTCCAGAAGCAGACGACAAATGTCTTTCCACCATGCTCGTCTCGAAGACCCTGTCAGGTTGCTCTGCACTTCTTCAAAGTCTCGTATGTCTGCGAAGACGCACTGCGAGTCCCTTCTCTCATGCATTTCTCTCTCCTCGGTCTCGTCTCTCAGCCTTCAATCACCGTGCTCGTCCTGCCGTTTCCGTCCTGCTCAGTGTACCCCGACAGAACACTCGGGATGATAACCTTCCTTCACGACCAGCCCGCCTCCGTTGTACTATGCGATCCACGCCAGACTCGGCGACATTGCTCTTCCGCCTCGACGAACGTTGCTGGAGGTTTTCGCCGCCGGCCACTTGGCACTTACGATTGACCAGCACCAGGTTTCGATAGCCGACTTGAAGAGAGCATGGCCCGACGTCTTCGCCAACAACGGCCAGCTGCAGCAAACCCGCCCACGAGAGGGCCGCCCGGCAGTCTACCCCGAACCGCCTGGCACGAGTGTAACAGACTGTCTCCTACTACAAGGTTATCAAGGCAGCAGCACTACAATGGGCCGGGGCGAGTTGAAGAACCGTGATTCAGACTTTGCGTGGGGATCTCGGCCGTTGCGTCGAGGCTACTGGGGCGGCGAGTCGGGCACTGCAGAATCTGATAGGCGGCGGGCGCTGCGGCTGGGGACGGGCGCGGAGGTTGGCCATCTGTTGAGTGAAGATGCAGCGATGCGTCTATCTGCAGACAGGCGGGGCGGCGTACGCACACGGTTGACTGTAGCACGGCGACTGGCTGTATTGAAGTGTGACGCCCGTCCGTTCGTGTGACGAGAGTGAAGATGGCACTTGGCACGTGCGAGAATGCCACAACCCCACCGCACGCGACCCGAGTCGGGTGCCACAATGCCACATTGCCACAACCTCCGTGCTCATGGCGCGCTGAGCGTGCAGACATCGACGACTCTTTCCATCAACGCATACGGAGACGGACAGACGTGCGAGGCAAGAGTCTTGTGCAAAGCGCCTGACATGTACACTGAAATTGAGTGGAAGGGCGCTACGGCTGAAGCAAGATTGTTGGTTGCAGCGAAACGGATCCGGCAGCCATGTATAATGCGGAGTAAGTGCCACAACCCCACAGATTACGGCCAAGAAGTGCCACGACCCCATCGATGTGGCACATCGGAGCCGTGACGTCAGCGATTCAGGTCTCAATTCAAGGTCGGAGTTGCGACATCACCACCACGACAGCATCAAGGCACAATCAGCGAGAAGATATTGCTTTCTGAACATGCCTTGCACAGATACTACATGTTCCGGCGACAAGGCGGCGGCCAATGCTGTGCTGCAAATAATACCGCGATCTTCGAGCGCTACAAGCAACCTGCAAGGCACCGCGGAGCCAACACGCGCAGCATGCCCGGCTTGGCGTGACATTCTCGTCAAACATCATGTGGGAGGTGCGACGCACAGGCCGGGCAGTGATCCCATCTCTAGTTGCAATCATTAGCCGACTTCACCTAACGCAGTTTACTGTTTGGCTTCCCGCGTAACCTCGCCTTCGAGCCGCATTATGAATGACAGCCCGCACGACGATCGAGTCTTTCTTCACCATGCGCCTTCCATCATCCGCCGAGTCGCAGGCTGCAGGCAGCGGGCAGCGGGCAGCTCGCAGCTGGAAGTGACGGCTGGCACAAGCGCCCACCGACATCAGCTCCGCGCGTCTTGCCCCACGAGCACGCCAAAACCTACCAACTCCTCGGCTTCGTTCGCAAAACACCTGACCGCATCTCGGATGCGCCAACACACCGGCTGCGATTATCGCCAGCGCAGTAAGCGACTGCGAAGTGGCTCGCTAGCCAGGAAGTCCGAAGCGAGAAGGAGCCAGATTGAACAAGAGCATGAACAACCGCCAGGAGCGCAGGCGATCCAGCGAGCAAGAGGGGCGGTAATAAGATAGGCACACAGTCGGTGGAGTTGTGGCAGGACAAATAGCGCACGTTTCTGAAAGAACCAGACCCAAAACACGATGTACGTGGGTGTTGAGGCCGCCGAAGTCTCCGTGTTGGCAGATAACACTACGAAGGATCTGAAGATCAAGCATACCACGCTCCACCACCTGCAGCTCACGATCCGTGGTGACGAAGAGTTGAGACCCCTGTCAACCTGCCTTTGCCTTCGGAGGTGTTCTTCTTCTACACACCAACCGTGCGGTCCTCTCAGGCGTGGACAAGGCGTGGACACTGGAGCAGAAGACGAGAGAGAAAGCCGATAACTAAGCGTTGAATTCGGGTTCCACCGGTCGCTTTCCAAACAGTTGATTCGGAGATATCCTGGCGGTGCCGGCGACGACTATTGAAGGGACAAGCGAGCGGCAGGAGCGTGGGGAGGCCTGCATGGAAGTGGGAGGTTTGCAGAATACCGCACAGCTACCAAATCGCAGCCAGGAGATAAAGAGCCGCAGCCAGAAGATAAGTAGCCGTGATAAATACAAGAATACATCAGCTCACAGATAGTCACTCAGTCTCCGAGACCAAAGCTTTTTTTCGAAAACTTCGTTCACGCCGATGACCGCAAGTGAGACCGCATTTCATTCTCGTCAAAACAATGTACTGGGCAATTAGCAGGCGATGCGGAGCTCATACTCATTGCTCACATTATTCGCATCGAGACCTGATGTACTTAGGCGACGAGACAGCCCAATGATCCGAAGATATGGTCGCCCGTTCCAGCAGTGTTCTTATTACCGCGCTGAAGCAACGTAAAGCTATCACGCCATTCTCTTCCAGATCGACTGCGTGATGGAAATCAGATTCAGGCGCTGCTTAGGGCTCTCGTCTTCGCGCTCACGCCCTCGCCCACGCCCTCGCTCGCCAGCTCGGTCCCGTTCCCGCTCAGCGTGCTCCGATCGTCCGCATTCCCCGGAACATGCGCATCAGGGACGCCCCAAAGGATTCCAAAGGCAAGCCCTTGGTTGCAGTGAACGTTACTGTTGCCTACCGCTCCCGACACATGCAGTTCCGCCCGAAACGTGTTGAGTACCCCAGGGTGCTCGATTGGAACCGAACCTCATTGCCTATGCTGGAGGCCGTCAAGTCCTTCTGGCACGGCCTTGCCGAGGACGAGCAAGCCCGCCATAAGGACGTGGCTCACTTCATTGTCGCTCTGCGCACCACCTGGGAGATGATGCTGGAGGATCCTGTCCTTATGCGATTTGAGGAAGACATCGGCGTTACACGTTGCAGCAGGCTTACCGACCACGACACCTACGCGGTCGTACGAGTTGGACGGGACCATCGAGTACGACTCTAGTAAGAAGGAGAGCCTGGCCGTTAACAATCCCCAAGAATCGCCAATTATTTCACGGAGCGTGGCCTACCGAAGTTGGCTCATCTGTTACCAGAGGCATATACTGGTCGACGCCCGCTAAAGCCGCTCCAATTTCCATGCCTAAACTAGCATCACTTCTATGCGCTTCGCCTGCGACTTGTCCTCCGCCTCGAAGGGGGAACTGTATAAGCGCCGTGACAATTCCTATCCGGACCATTCCCAGGCTTCGAAGGAGAGACTTAGATCGGAGACTGTTGTTCCTGCGACCCGTGCCATCTGCCTGTGCCTTTGCTTGCGAAGTGGAGAAGACACTCTGATGCTTCGTCCATTGTTTTCAATAACGTTTATGCGTTGCTGCGGTCGAGGTCGGTCTGATTCGGTCGAGCGCGGCAAACGTCGCAAACGCTGCGACACCACAGCGGACGCGGCTATCAGCGATCTCCGCGTTGTCGCCTTGGCTCGATGCAATGATTAGCACGAAACAAAACAGGAGCGACGAGGAGACCGCAAAAAGCGTAACGCTGCCGATTTATTCGAAAGCCACGTGTTAACGCTACTCGCGGCAAGGAGGCTTCTTTGCGTACATAATAATAATATGATCGAAGCTGTTCAATTCAAGACTTAGTAGTGCTAAGGCCGCTCCTCTCTAGGTCACCGTCTCGACCAGCCTAGTTTTATCTATCTACCACGTTGCTAACAGCCTTGGAAGGCGCTATTACTAGGAAGTGTTAGACCTAGCGAATCGTTCCCGGAGCATTGGCTCTTCTTTGCCCACGCTTAGCCCACTTAGGTTAACTACTAAAGAGCTGGATCCAGGTGCGGGTACGTTACAGTGGTCTCTCGGTATCGCTTCCATCGCGAACGTATTGATCCAGAACAAATAGTCGGTCGCCGTTTTGGCCTCCGGGCCTCCTATGGGCTAATACACGGAGGTCTTCGTCGGTACGTATCCTACGTTCAGCTCTTCGGAGGCAAGAAGAATGCATTCGGATAACCTTTGAGGGCGACAGATTGCTGCGTCCACTACCAATCAGCGTGCTCTGGAGAAATCTGCGGCGCTTCTCTTTCATTCCTCTCGTTCTCTTTCATTCCTCTCGTTCTCTTTCATTCCCCTCGTTCTCTTCCATTCCTCTCGTTCTCCGCGGCCGATATACGCCGTAGATAGATGATAGCGGAGTTGGGCTAAGGTGCTCCACGGGTTCGTCGACGCGAATTCATAAGATACGGTAAGAATGTCTTGATCTTTGTCGCCGTCCAGTTCAGGTTCAGCATAGGGATCTCGTAGGTATGTCAAGGAGAATGATCGTCGTCTGTGTTACTACAGTCGGGATCGGGATCAAGGGAAGAAGCTTCTCGATCATCTGTAAGGCAACCTCCACTGTAGCGGATCAGGGTATTAAAATTGATACCTTATGTCTCCTCTTGTAGCACCAAATGTATTTTCCCAAGATACTAATGACGCTTAGGAAAGACTCTAGCACAGTTAGGAAAGGAATAAGCGTACAGAAATCTAGTATTGAGTTGTATGCATTTGCGGCGTGATATCCGCCGATGTGAACGATGAAATTCATGATACTTTCGTGATTATATGTGTCAATTGCAGCGCCTCATTGCAAGACATGGGCCTGTATGCTCGTCGCTCCATGCGATACAATTTCGAGCCCCTACTACTGTCTTTACCACAGCTCACGGCCTCTACAAGGAATTCCTCGGAGAGAGCAGAGCTACCCACAGCAGATGCTAAAGTCGTGCAATCGTCCTAGGTAGGTCTCAGGCTCGTAGAAGGAGAGAAGTGATGCGATCTTGGACAATGTAAACATCGAACAGGCTTCATGAAGGCTTCGGTGGGGAAATATCGCCAACGCTGGAGTGAGAGTGCTGTAACTACAGAAAATCTGCCAAACGGACTCCTACTCGAGCTGGGCAAAGAAAGGCTCAGCCGCAACATGTCGAATATACCTATGTGAGGGTTCCCGCTGCCCAAAGGACAACGAAGGACAGACGATACGGGGAGGTCACTGCAACTTGAAGCTGGTCTGTCGCTGGTGCCAGCGCCGGTCTTGATGCTGGCGTTGATGCCATCGAAACGGTGACGGAAGTGATGCTGGTTGTATCAGAACAATGCTTTCAAGATACCTTGTTAGCAACAATGCCGGTGTGGCCTTGCCTTGTGGACGATGCCCAAGATGTCGAGGTAGTCTCTGTACAGCATTGATACCGGTACATCAATCCTGTGGGGTGAAGGTTGGCTTGCATGATTACTACTGCGATGCCGCTACTGATAGAAAATATCGGAGGTGGGATATTGCCATACCTCCTCGCGGACGGCATGCAGATGAAAGTGCATGCGCGCGGATGACGATGTCGCATCCCAAGCGGTCCGGTGGCCGTATGGGCCTCTCCGCACTTGGGCTCGTTAGATACGACTCCCGATTGTCCCTCTGCGTATGCTGGTCTTCTCCGCCCTCTTGACAAGACGACTGCGACTGCTGGTGTGGCACAATCGATGATACATTCAAACAGCGTGCTCCATACCCGGTTGACATGCGCCCGAGCCAACGACTGAAGCGCGAAGCCACTGGACCCAGATGTAGATTCTCAGGCTCCTGGTGGTCCAGGTGCTCGTCTCCACCCTCGCTCAGATACTCGCTGGTACTTGCGACAACATCATTTCTCTAGAGCGTGTGGGTGTCCTACTCGTTCTCGCTGTTTGCTGCTGCCACCGGGTTGTATGGAAGACTTCCACCGGGCGTGTTGTCCAGCCTTATCGTAGGACCATCTCCGCTGTCAACCGGTCGCTTCACAACAGACTTGGGTGTGGGCAGGCGGCGCTGCTTCTTGCTCCTGGTCACCTTCGATGTATCCTTAACCCTTGATAAGTACTCCCGCTCTCTTCGGCCTCGGGCTCTTCGACATGCGCGTCTTTCTTCTGCTGCTACTTGCTAGCAACGGCGCGAGTCGCGCGACAGGCCTTTCTGAACTCCGTGCTGGATCTTTCGCGGGATAAGAGGCTCTGATCTGGTGGTAGAAGTATCGGTTGGTCTTCCGTTGGTCTTGAGTAGGTCGGAGGTACGCTCGCCGAAGCGGGTGTGACAGTGTGGATCGCGGAATTTTGGGGAGCATTGCGTCGAAGCGACGAGGCCAACGTAGTTACCTAATCGCATTGAGAGGGTGGATGTCGTCGTTCTTCGTGTGTCTGTCGGTTGCGATTCTGGTGCGATGTTTCCAGGCTCAGTCGTGCGAGTAGAGAAACCGGACGGTGGGCGTGTGTTAGTGTTATGGTGGTGGAACTGGAGACGCTGTGAACCTCAACTCTCGGAGACGTCATTACGTCTTACCTCGGCACGAGGCAGCGGTCGGTAAGTGGTACCGATTGGACTGGGCGTCTGGGGAAGTGGAGCTCGGCGGCCTCGCCACGAAGCGTCGGTCAGCTTTCACAGCTTCCTCCGACGCCGAAACGCGATTTCCTACACATACAAACAGCAGGTACCCCCAAAACAAAGGACCAGCACTCGCAAACGCAAGCACCTCCCGACTCTACAGCTCCATTCAAGCTATCAAGAAATGGTGCATTGTAAATCCAACAAGATGCGACTTCCAACCCCAATCTAAGTGTATCGCCATGGCAACACATTCCTGCGGCTGCAGAACTCGATCTCCTCACCCACAATGGCGTGGCCTGGCGATCTCGCAGGTACACTTGGCTCAAACACCGCGACGAGCGACGAGGTACTCGGACACTCCTCAAACTCTCTTCAACACCACCGCGTAGAGCAGTCTTCAGCCCTCCGACTATCTTCTGCGCCTTCCAGTCTCCCACACGGGCACCCGTCAAAGGACGCCAGCATGGTCCAGACCCGATCACGATCCCGATACGCCAGCGCATTCACGTCACCCCCAGCACCACGCACTCCTTTGAACGGCGTATCAGACAGATCATCAGGGGAACAAGAGCCGGCCGGGAGATGCAAGATTGAGGGGGTGCGGAGGAGGGGACATCTGACACCTGCAGCGGACTACCAGCCGCTAAGAAAGACGTCGGATGATCAAAGACGCCACGCTAGAAAGGCTGGAGTAAATGCGAATGGCCATACGGTCCGCTCCAGAAGGCATGTCGTTGAGAGTCGAGAGGATATAGACGATCGGTCGAGTGATCTCATGACAAACGAGTGCAAGCTGGAGCAGTCTGAACCAGACAGCATCGAGCCTACGGACGAGGGATCTGCTGCTGGTGCCTTACGAGAGAGCACCAAGAGCAGCGCAACGCTAGAGCAGAACCCCGGCGTGGCTCGGTCGGAGGGAATGGTGTCGCTGTCGCGAAAGTCAGCATCTTCTGGACAGGAGTGTCGTCGCAACCGAAGAGCGCATGGTGAAGCTGAGCCGCCCACGTCCCTCCTGGACTGCGTCGTGGATTTGCCCTGGTACATCAAAGCCGCCGTCGCTGTGGTACTCGTTGGCCTCACTGTCGTCGGCATTCTGGAGTTGACAGGCCAACCAGACGTCAGTAGCGGTACTACAAGCAACAGAACCAAGTCCACGCCTGCTCCCGCCAGTAGAGAGGTACTGAAACTACAACACGCCACAAACGAGACCTGTCAAGCTGTCTCTCCTCTTCTGTCTCCATCGCCTTGGGACGATATGTCCAGGTCTCCGGCCGAGCTTCTGCAGCCTGTTCTCGACCTTCTCATCCCACACACCGCTCTCGAGCAAATGACCTTTGCCGACCTCTGCCACAGTCCGACGGTTCGTACCTCGCTTCGTGCGCCCTCTGCGACGACCGCTCTGCATATTGTCCCCGCTCTGGATCGCGCGGCTATGCTCCTGAGATCGAACGCTGCGCGGCTGCAGCTTGCGGCCACAGACATGGAACCGGCAAGCCAATCCGAACCCGCGAATCGTCGTGTTTGGGAGCCGCCTTCGATAGCCATAAAGAAGCGTGCGGAAGCTTTTGGCAGACTGGCCGACGCTCTCGAGTCTTTAAGGAGGGTGGTCGTGGATACGTCCTTGCTGTAACATACTGCATAGTCCTTCGGTCAGACACAGGCGCATTGCGGCGAAGGTCAACATTATCTTCTGCATCCTCGCGTTTTTACATTGTAGAGAGGCAAGCTCCGAGCTGAGGGCAGTGCCATTTTCCGCCCAGTCTTTAGCATTGGCTATGCATTATTATCTTCGCAGTCTCGAAAACTTAAAGCATTGCATGCAAGACTAGAACGCCGGCGCCGTCTGTAGCTAAAGTACGTACTCGAGATTAGATCGGCGCGGCGAGGCTGTTACTCTCGAACAAATCCAGCCATTCAAAATCTTTATCCTCTTCCTATCACTTTGCCTTCCTCGTACTATTTTCTCTTTGCCTACAGGACATATATACACCTTCTCTTTGCCAAATTTACCTTCCGAACCATACTACTATAAGTAAATTCGAAGAGCCGATAGAATTGTGCTTTGTCCTCGGAAGAACGTATCCCCGAGCTTACGTTTCGAAGAGCCTCTAGACATATTTGCGAACGCTACCTACTCGAACTCGCTTACGCAAAAATAAAGCAGGCACTCCGAGATCCTTCCTTCATTTTCATCTAAAGGACAGGATCAATTGTAGCTCCCGAGAAAGTAGGTGGCTCGGGTAATAGCGAGGGTAAGAATGTCTAGAGGCCAGAGCATGCCAGTCGAAGTGTGTTCTGTATTATCGCTTTACTAAGCCACCACTATACTATGCTGCTAGACCCGTCGAATGCGTCAGAGGCGACGACTGTAGCCCTATCCCGTGAAGCCTAATTTTCCCCTCGTGTGAAGGCTCCCTGGGAGGGTATCGAGCAACCACTTTGATCGTGTATTTGTTCCCTTTCGTAAGCCTCGCCTTTTCTTCGCGACTCGGGCAGGCTGTTCGTAGGCGAATCCCTCCGGGCACCCTAGTACTAACACGGACGGTGGGAGAGTGTGGAACTCGGCAGGTTTTGAAAGCATTAAGTGTCGAAAGACAACGGTAAGGGAGATGACGCGGCTGTGCAACGAGAGTGTTATTGTCGGTGACCTTTGTTCCCTTTGTGCAATTCGCAGGGTATTTCATTGTTCAACACATGCTTTCACTCTGAGGGCCGCTTCCACTGTTCTGTGCATACAGCTCGTTCTGCGAAACTTCGCTTCTGCGAGGCTTTGCTGCACCTGCGAACTTGTCGATTTGAGATTCGGCTGGGCCGAGGGCGCAGGTCAGGAGAGCGTCGAAGGAATTACATCGCGTATTTGAGGATGGCTCGGGGTTGCTCGCCGATGCCAATTGACTGGGAGAGTCGACAGTCGGGGTGTGTTTGCGATGTTGTCGAGGTCGCGCGCAACTGCTCTGACTGTCTGCTACGAGACGAAAACGTCATCCCGCACTGCGACAACTTTGGGCAGAGTGGACGAGAGGCGCGCCCCACTCCCCACACTCCGAGGTTCACGACCCGCTAAGCCGGGCGGTGTCGGTCCGAGCCGCGCTTTCCTTTGTGCTTCGCGCCTTCAGCTTCGGCTTGCATCGACACACCACCTCTTTCGCTCGTCACCTTCACGTCAACACGACACAGCGAAGACGCGCCTTCCCTTTGACTATCTCATCGAAGATGCCAGTGCGTTCCTTTCATACTTGCATTTCGCCTACCAGCCACCGGTATTCTCCTGGAAACGCATACGGTGGGAGAGATGCAGAGCGGGTGGAATATTCGAGGTGTGCGAAGCCGGGACCGAAGCCGGGACCGAATGCGATGATGGTGCGATGCTGTGGCCCAGCGGGCAAATCTCTTCACACACTCACATTCCCTCGCGCGCCTCCACATCGCTGGCGCAAATCTCCATTTGATCTCGTCGCAGCGCAACGTCCGCTCGCCGTCTTGTCCATCGCACGAATCACCCCTTCGCACACACACACGTCTGTACGCCCGCGCCCGCCAAAGACCGCTCACACTCATCCTCTCGCCTGCTCCTCCCATCGCACGACGCTCGATAACCTGACACCCACCGGCGCGTCGCACCTCAGCCTTCTCTTTGTCTCGGCACCGAGAGAAAGAAACTCCTTTCAGCAGCCCGAGTCCCGCCGAGGCCCGAATTTCTTTGTGCGTCCAATGCCTCCCCAATGTCAGGGTCAAGCCCGCTCCCCGCACTTGTCGCACTGGACAAAGGTCAAGATGCAAGAGCAGCGCTTGGAGGAGATGGCAAGATGCATGCGGTGGATACACGGTAATACATAATGCATACATGCGACAGATGCACGCGATGGATGCACGCACTGGAAATACATGCAATGGAAACACTCCCTCAGAGCATCGCACACGGACATCCGCATTCCGCCGCAGCTCCAGATCCTCGGATGATGCAGCGCCTCTCCGTTGCTGTGGACCTGCGGCAGACTTGTGTCCGGAACGCCAACCAATGCTGCTCCATCGTCCGTCTTGGGCCGTCTTTCCCCTCGCTCGCCCTCTCTCGACGGCGGCAACCTCAACGCTAACGTCGACCGCCCTACCAACCCAGAGCCTTCCCCCATCCCACAAGTCCATCCTCTGACCAACCCTCCTTGTCCGTCCTTGTTCGATCAGACAAAGAACATTCTTTCACGGGTCTTTGAGATTCCTCGAGTCCTTGTCTGTGCCGATGCACGATCCAACACGCCTATTGTCCGAGGACGCTGCCGACCAGATAAAGAACGTCCTTGGTCCGCAGGATAAAGAGCCGACTTCCATCCACCTCCCGAACTCGCCGAGTCCTTGTTCGTTCCAATGCCGCATCCAATCAGTCCCAATGCCCGCCCACCCTCAGTTCTTCCACGCTTCTTTGACCCTCGAGAGCATCGTTCGACAATGGCCTTGTCCAATGCCGTCTCTGCTGGGCGGATGATATAAGAGCGCCTTCCCCATGTCCCTTCTCCTTCCCTCTCCACCACCACCGACCTCCTTCACACAACTCAGATTTGGACCCACTCGCCATTGGGATCATACAAGCGAAACCGACCAGGGACCAGCAACGCGAAAGGTGCAAGCAGCAAGAGCCAGTCTCCAACTGCCTCCACCAAAGCCGCTGGACGGTTCGCCAACTCGCTCCCAATACCCTTCCGACGATCCTGTCTGGTATGCACAACGGCGACAACCACAGCTCCAATCAAACGCAGGAAGGCACCCCCGAGATACCTACTGAGTCAGTCATCATGTCTTCCGATCGTGTCCAACCCAGCGATACCCCCAGCAAGACCTCGTCTTCAATGGTCGAACCCCCAGCTGAACGGTATGCCAAATTCGCTAACATGTCAGCAGTCCACCCGGTGCAGACGGAGGCGGCAATACAGACGGAAGCGGAGAACGCGGAAGACGAAGAGCAACAATTCCACTCCGCCCCTTCATCCCCCATGCTCCCAGCCCGCCCCGACAACGACGAACCCCTCCACGGTTTCCACCGCGCCAACTCCACCCTCGATACCCTCCTCTCCCTCCGAAAGCACCAGAAAGACTCCAATGCTGCTGCTCGTCTGGCGGCTCTCGAAGCCGAGGTGGAAAAGTACCGTTTTCGTGCCGAAGGGGCGAGGGATCTGGGCTGGAGGATACGGGACATGATGGAACGGAGGGGCCGCGCTGAGCGGGAGGGTGAGGAAAAGAAGGAAAACGATTCGTAAGTTGGCGGAGTTTTCCTCTCTTTCCTTTTTTCTTTTTGGATGGGTTGGGCGGGAAAGGTAGGGATGGTTGTGTGATTTGGGCATCGATAGGGGGAATTAGTAGACCGCAGGGAAGGAACAGGTGAGTACTCTCGAGGTGGGCGAGGTTGTCTGAATAGCTATTTCGAGTGGGATAATAGAGACTGTGACTTGTTGTCCTTACTTTTGTATCCTTCTCATTTTGTTGTTCTGAATCGATCGGGGAACGAGGAGATAATGGGAAGATGTTATGCCATGTGTGTACCGAGTGGAGGAGCGAATGATCCCTTTTCTTAACAGATATGTTCATCTCCGCAACCATCAAGGAGATCTCGGAATGGTAGTGCAGTATAAGGCGAAAGACTCAAGGGGAAACCAATTGCAAACTTGAAATATCTCGAAGGTCACCATTATGAATAACGACAATCACAGAGAGCTCCTGCTTTCTCAGAGACAGTACAAGTTTCCCGAAACCGAGTTAGGTATGAGTGAGAATCTACTCTTCAATCTTGCCTACATGTAGATATGTGTTGGCGTCGGTGATCAAGAAGCATGAGCAAAGACACGAGAAGTCTAGAAATTGCTCACTCGGGCGATCTGGACCACTGTTCTCAGCACCACAATCACGGGGACATATCAAGCTCCGACAGTAGAGAAGAAGAGAAACACGGAGATCCGGCAGAGCGAGCCTTTGCTGCTGTCTCAAGAGATTCTTATTATTACACTTTCGACGTAGGAGCGAGCCGTATGGAAAGTCCAGCTCGCCGAGGCTTCAGAAGCCAGCCGCTGCCACACGCGACATGACCTTCTCTCGAGCACATCCATCAGCTTATCCCACGTGTGTCGACTCCTCCTGTCTGAGCCGGCTCTCATCCAAGCTAGCTTCCATCCAGGCCAGCTTTCCTCCGGGCCAAATCTTGTACAAGCCGCAATCCAGCCAGGCCGAACTCCCGACACGCCTGCCACATTGGCATTGAAAACGTCGGTTCGCGCGGGGGAACGACTTTCGATCTACCACATTGCCTGTAGCTGGAGGCACGACTCGCGACGAGGCACCGATGCTGCCAACACGCCGTCGGCTGACCTCGCGCCGTAGCTCCTCCATGCTTATGCTCATGTTTTCCGTCTGCACCAGCTCGACACCGATCCAGACAGACCCATCGGCGTTGGTGGTATCCAATCCCCTGGACATGGGGAGGCCGAAAGAGCTCCCTCCAGAGGACGTACCGTGACGCCGCGCAGCGCGCTCGATCTTGCGCACTCGTCCTCGCCGCAGCACATCCCGCAATCGCCACGCCGCTCGCCAAGATTCCGGTATCGACTCTCCCATTGTCACTCGATTTCAGCAATACTCCAGGTCGTCACAATCCCCAATGCGACTGATGCTATTGCCGCTTCATACGTAGACATCACTCACGAGCGGTCCGGAGAAGAGGAGGAGATGGGTGACGATAGATATGGATATAAGTCCGACTGACTTCGACCCAGAGGAGGATAATCGCCACTACTCTCGCGAGGGGGGATCGATGACTTTCCAGTGAAACGTCGAGTTGCTTCTCGCCGCCGCTTCGCTGGCAGTGCATTCTTTTCCACGGTAGCGCTTCGCCCGCGATGCCGCCACCCGTTCATCGGCGTTCAGCACATACCGACTCCTCGCCCTTCGGTGCGCCGCCTACGCTTCCAAGATTGTCTCAACACGGCAATTCGCTCTCGTCCACGTCTTCTCGGTCGCAGGGGGAGTCTTCGGGCTCATCGCATGCTCGGGGAGGTTGAAACGGGCAGGGAGCTCGTTCGCTTTGAGCCTGGGCGTATGGTGTGCTGTGCTTCGCGCAGACCGGTCGGGGTTGAGCTGATGTGATCCTTAGCATTTGCGTGGTAGAGTGTATACCAATGTAGGGAGCTGGGGTGTTGGACAATGAACAGACGCTCAGACTCTGGCGCGGAAACCGATGCGAAGGCGTGTCGCGCGCGGTCAGGGAGGTGCGGGAGGGATCGGCCGTGAGTTGATACCGCCAAGTGCGATGGGGCAGACCAGCGGCGAGGAGTGGTTGCGGAGTGTTTGAGATGGATGTGATATCGCCGACGTAAATTCATACATGAAGCTAGCTATTGGAGTGTAGTGTTGCTGCTGATCTGATGTTCGAGAACTTCTGTGGCAGCAAGGCCAAGAGCGGATGCTGCCGGGACTAGCCATATAAGAATGCACTCCAACCCCCTCGCGCCCACCACTTGCCGCGACTTCTTCTTGAGTATAGAACGATATGTCTTCCATGTCGAGCCCTCTCGAATTTCTTCCTCCCCCGCGACCTCTCTCGACCTCTCCAAACTTTACAAACTTCCACGGCGTGCCGTTTTGATGAAATAACAGAGCGAAGCGACAACACGGTTTTCCCCGAGCACAAGGCGTGGACCGCACCACCCTTTCATGGCACCATATGTCATCTTTGGTGACTCCAGCCGTTCAAATACTGTCACTCGCCCTTGACCCGCTGAAACTGCGAGCTCGGCCTTATGAACAGCGGAAGAGAAGATGGCGATTGATGTGGTCACTGGCTTGGGGTGGGAGGGGACAGATGGTACGAGGCCCGCAAGGTGGACCGGATGCTTAGACTAGTGGAGAAGAGATTGGAGCAACTCGAAGTACTTGGTAATTGAAAGAAGGTGAGTCAGCATACTTCCAGAGCACAGTGGAGGAGAAGGCTTTGGAAAAGCACGGAAGAGGCCGCACGAGCTGGCAAGTCATACTCAAGTGATGGAATGGATATCTCCGGGCGTGGAAGAAAGAGTGGAGCAGAGGAGGGTGACCAAAGGAGAGGGATGCGTGATCTCAATCTCTTCCAATTGCGAACTCGCCCATCGTCAGCTCGCACTAACGCGAGAAGCATCTCGATCCGAGCACAATGGTCCAAACTAACTCTCTGGAGTTCGTGCAGAGTCGCATTGATACATCACTCCCAGATTGTCCATTCGCCAAGCCGCACATCGACGACGACATCGTTACATTCTCCCAGACGGTCGGCGAACACAAATGTGCTCGGTTTCTTGGACTCTCTGGGCATCGAAACTAGCTCACAGATCTTCTCCCCAGGCTATCTACCAGCCCACGAGCTTGCTGGGAGAAGCTCTTCGCCGATCTAAGGACACAACCCAAGCCTGCTTCGAGCCACCCTGGCTAGAGATAACGACTGGGTATCGGCACGTCGACAACAATCGACCTGCCAACGATGTTCGTATCCGACAGGAACACGATGAACGACAATGGGCCGACGGAGCGTAACGACTGGGGGCACGGGCCGAAGGAACTGCTCATCGCCTTGAGCGAGGAGAGATCACACGCTTGCAGAATGGCGAATTCTTGCGAAGCATCTTGGCTGGACCGAGCAACGAAGCACCAGTCTGCAGACAGTCTTGCCTAATCGGATACGATACCTTCGGGATGATTTCGAGGCTGGCGTGCTTTCGTGCGCAGGTGCGGTGGCAGCGTGGTCATGGTCGACATCACACGTGGTCGGCTCTCGAAAAGCAGGCAAAGCGACTACGTCCACTTTCTCTCGACATGCTCTGTCCTGCCTCTCGAGACACTGGTCTGAAGGGAAACAGTATCGCTCTGGTATAAGTGAGCCAGTCTTTGAATGCCAGACTCAGCCCTCCTGGCCATGCGTAGCCTTCTTCCTCGACTCTGATGTTGTGGTTTGACTTCTATGCTTTATTCCACGCATGATCCAGCGATGTGTTCGGGAGTGGCGACAGACCAGGTCTCCGAGACGTAGCCAGCGACTCTTCTATCTTGTCTCTTCTCCTCGCCGTTTGAGCCATACCCCACTCACAATAATATGATCGTCCTCCGGAAACTACGCCCGAGTCGTCGGGACTTCTGGCCTGGAGAAGCTTCTCGATACGTCTCTACTATTCGGTGGTAGACAAAGTATCAGCTTACCACCCGGCGACTCTTCGATGTACGTATACGCGAAAAGGCTCATTGCTAAAGTCGCCCCTTAAGAATAATATATTGGCTGCTCGCCGCTGAGCCTCTTATTGTTCTAAGCTGGAGTGTGGAGAGGCCCCTACAGTTAACTGATAAACTGTTTCGTCTCATGGCTTTTAATCCCTCAGCCAATACATTCTGTAATTGAGTACTTGTACGAGTCAATACGACCGTCACGAGGGTGAGAATCGACTTATATCTATTGTCTATTACCTCTGGAATCCTATCTGGAGTCAATATGTAAGTATCCCAAAATCGATGAACGGTATCCTCTCGACCACTACGATGTTAGCCGTGTCCGGCTGCATGCGAGTCGTGCTCCTTCGGAGGATTAGAAATACTCGCTAGCTTCCTTCGCGACATTCGTCGTTAGTCGCTATGTTCCGAAACGGGATCTTTAAGCGTTGCATGGCCTGAAAGGAAACTCGACGATCTCCAAATAAAGAGTGGCTGTTCGGCGATGTTAGCTGTAAAGAAGAGATTCCAAGAGCGAGTTGCAGTAGATATAGATCCAGTCCCTTGTGATAGTAGCTTTGCCTGGTATCTCTAGAAGCACCGGCTACGCCGCGGAATACTTAACGACAATGAATCTTACTGTCGAGCCGGACATTAAACAGTGATCGCCGCGACAAGCTAGCGATCGAGTTCTCGATAAAGGATCGCACTCACAGAAGTGACCGAGAGCTAGGTCTCCGTTAAAGTACGCTTCCGTACGGACGTTGCGCCTGGACGATTGTCGTTATGTCAAGAGAAGGACTTGATGCTCAAAAATGATTTCACGGAGGTATTGCGGAGTTCAATCCATTCGCAAACTGCAATTCACGAATAGCTACACTTGGTTCTCGAGCTGTTCGTGGTTTTTCTTTGCTTAGCTCTCTCAAAGGAGAGAGGGGGTACATGCCGTCGGAGGCTAGTAGTTCGGCTCCGCAGAGCTTAAGAAAGGATGTCCGCTACCAGACCGCGCAAATATATTATCAAATGCTTCTATAGTACCGAG